TTTTTTAAAAATTATAAAATTTGTTTATTATTTTTATTATTTTATTTTTTTTCAATTCATAATAAAATACATATATATCATATTTTTATTTTGTTGATTACAAGATATATTGTAAAATAATAGGAATTAATTATATGATATCTATTTACAGGTTAAGTGAATAAACATCAGGATACTTTTGCATAAATATAAATTAAATATTATTAATTTATAATTATTAATTATAATGATAGTATTTATTAAAGTTTTAGTTTAAGGAATGAGATTTGGAATAGAAAGGATTGAGACTTTTAAATTTTTCTTTGCGGTTAGGAAGTAAATATTCTACCCCTCGCTATGAAATTAAAAATCTTAACTCTTTGGCCAATATTGAAAAAGCCTTAAAGTATGAAATATAGTAAAGAATTTATTTATTATTTTTTAATAAATTTTATAATTATTTTCAAATGTTTTTTAAATATAATATATTTTTAATATCTAAAAATATTATATAAAATATATTATTTGACATTAGATTTTTTTATACTCTAATATATTTTGACTATTTTATTAATTTAACAAGATAATTTTATGATAAATTAATTTTATTTAATATAACAATTAGATCTATTGCATTAAAATATTTTATAATAAACTTCTCTTATTACATTTTTAATAAAAAATTTGTATGTTTTACAATAGAAAAAGAGAAAATAATCAGAAAAATCAATTTTACTTTATATACTAAATATAATTTTTAAATCAAATATATTTAGATTTAGTATTAATTTATTTTTTTATTTTTTTAATTATTTCTTCTTTTCTATTGTAAAGATCTTATTTGATTATTTTAAAAATGAATAGTTTAATTTTTTAATTATACTAATTAAAATTTTCTTACAAAATTTTAGTTTTTTTATATTTTATTTCAAAATAATATCACTAACTTTGAATACGTAAAGCATTTATCATTTGAATATAATTTTTTAAATATTATTAAGATCTTATTTTTCAAAAATAGATTAATTTATATTTTAAATCTTATTTGAAATTACTTAAAACTTATTAAAGATATTATTTTTTAATAGGTTATTAATGAATAAGATGATTCTGAATTTAATATATATTATTAAGCATTTTCAAATTGGTTTTGTATTATATATATAAATTATAAAAAATTTAAATGTATTAAAATTATTAAAGATTATACTAAAAAAATATATTTAATATTATTTATAATTAACTAAAAAAATTTCAAAAATCTGTCTATAAAACTTTTTTTAATACATTAAGTAAAAGTTTTTTAAATTAAATTTTACATTAAAAAACCTTGTTTATAAAATATTTAAAGTAATTTATTATTAAGAAAATAAAAAAGAATGTTACAAATAAGATATTGTAATATGTATTACAAATACATTTTTTCTTAAAATAATAATTTAAATTTTTAGATAATATAAAAATAGTTATATTTCTTATAAGGTATTATATATTTTTTTTATTTTGATTTATTATTATAAATGAATTTATTTTTTAATATAATTATTTTTTAATTAAATATAAGATTCAATTAATCAAAAAATTGAATTTTTAAAAAATATTCTTTAAAATTTGTAATAATGTTAAATAATATTTATAATAGTATCAGTTAATACTATAAGAATTTAAGAATAAATTAATGATTTGACTTAAATAGGTCTTCAATATTTGCATTTATTAAGTAATTTTTAGGTATTAATTACTTAACAATCAGTGGTCATGTCAGATCACGTGCTGATTATTAATTAAAAATTGATTGACCAATAAATTACACAAAACAGCTGTATAATATAACATGATTTTTTCAAACGTCGTGTCAAATCTTTAATGAAATTCTATTTTTTTTTAGTTTCGTTTACACATTCCAACACTCTTTTTTTATATTACAACACTTTTATAAAAAAAATTATTATACTAACTTTCTTATATTTTTTTACTTTAACCCTCAGATGCAACTTTACATAAATACTAACTACACTTTTTAAATCACCAAACATATTGTAATTTTTTACATACAATCGAAATGTCTTAAGCTTCAAAGGTGGTTAGAATAGTAATTTTTACGACAAATGTGGTATTTTTATTTTATTATTATGTAAATTGATTTAATCAAGTATATAACTACATATAAGTATTTTTTATTATGAAAAAATATATTTTACTTGTCCTTATGATAATTCTACCACTCTCGTACCTTTTTTTTAGATCAAATTTCTGATAAATTTTCATAAACAGAAGCAATGGCATCATCTGGTAGTTTATCTTTATATACTTTCAATGCGGAAAGTATTTCTATCTCCTTTTTAGTAGTTCGATACTTTTTTTGTTTAGGTTGTAGTTTATTTGTGTTGGGTAGGTAATCTGTAGATTGTTCGTTCATTTTTTCAACTGTATTTTTTTGTGCTGATTGTGAAGATTCGGTAATGTGTTGATGGTTGGATTTTTTTTGAACATTATAATTTTTCACTTTTGTTCTAATTACTCCTGCTGCTCTTCTACCTTTAGTATTTCTACTTTCTATTTTTAAAACCTCCTGTCAATATACTCCTTTTATTCTTTCTAATCCATCTGGGTAACATGCAAAAAGACGACTAAGTCTCTCTTTATACATTTCTGTAGGTGTGTATTTTTGAAACAGTTGATGGGATAATGGGTTATCCATTCCAAATATTTCTACTAAGTCATTAACAAGTTCCCACAAGGATTCTTAACGTGATTCAATAGCCCGCTCACTATGAGAAATTGAATGATCATTAAGATATTCGCTTATCAAAAGATCTATTCTTTCCCTTTCACTTTGGGATGCTTTTATTTGATTTTTAAGATTCTTTTTATCAATAACATTTCCACTTATATTTCCTTTAATAAATCTTACTCCAAATGTTTCTAAAGCTTCATCAAATCTGAAGCAAACATGATGTGTATTCTCAAAATCACTATCAACATCATGTGGAATTTTAAAAGCACCACAGTGACGTAATTTTTCTTCTAATTGGGATGGGCTGCTATGGTGGCAAGAAAATATGTTATGGCTGTTGTGTAATTTGATTTTGCTGCACTTGCATAAAGAGGTCCAGCTGCAGATAAGGAATTTTGTTGTAAATCAAAATTTTCAATACGTATTCCTATCTGATGTGCCTTCCAAATTTCAGCCCATTTATAACACAAATACCATATCTATGATAAATAAGATTAGAAAATAAAAATATCAATGTAATTTTATTTAATAAATAAATATAAATTTAATGTAAAAAGTTTTTTTTTTTATTAACATAAAAAATTTTTTTTCGTTTATTATATAAAAAAAAAAAAAAAATAATAAAAAAATAAAAAAATAATTCATTGTACAATGTTATCAAATAAAAATATACCTTAAGACAAACATGAGTATTTTCTTCGTCATTCATTATTTCAGAAAATGAAATTTCTTTTTCAGTAATATATATATTGATCGCTATTCCCACTGCTACCCATATAAGATATAATACCCGTACTGTTGAACAATAATCAACTGCAGATTCAAACTTATCTAAGAAACGAACACTTAACATGATGCTAGACTTAACAATCCATAACTAGAGAATAGAACTAATAATACTGAATAAAAATCCTTTGATATATGCCACTGACCTAGAAGAGGTCTTATATATGGCCATTTTTCTCAACATTTAATTAATCGATGAAATATTGCTTCATCTGCTATAATGTCTAAGAAAAAATGACTTTTCATTACAAAGTCCTCTTTATACATTTCAGCAACATGTAAAATCTCTTCATCTGAATTGGGATTTGATCCTGGTTCTAAGATTATAATATTGGGAGATGGATCACGGCATCCATGATCTAATCTAGAAAGTATTATATGTTTAATAGTTTCTGAATTAAAATTTGTTTTATAGGTAAGTTTTTCATTAATTTTTTGAAATCTAACAGTTCATATATAATTTGTTAAAATACTATTAATGCTTCATCAATGTCTTTTTTCATTCCAAATAATGGAGTTTCAGAAGTTAATTCAATAATTTGTTTAGGACCAGTATCTATTTCAAAAGGTAATTGCATTTGAAAAGCCATTTGAAGAGTTGCATGAGAACTACCACAAGTAACATCATAAATGTTACCAAACTTGAAACTTTTTTCTTTGAAATCGATATTATCAATGATAGCTAAATTCCAAATATTATTGCCTTGAATTAGACGTTTTGCTAGATTTGATGCTTCCATTCAGACTTTTGCTAATTTTCGTTCATATCGATCTGTATGAGATGTTACATGACAAACTGTCAATAGTTATCGAAAATAGCCTAATAATCATGGCATACGACTAAGACTAGCTAAAACTCAAGGTAACCAAACCTTTAAATGAGGAAAAGCTAAATTTAATAAAATTGATGTAATAAATGTCACAACTTTCATTATTTGTTCAGGAATTATAATTTTTGGCAATTTTTGACATTTTTTTCATTACCAATTATATATAATCATTTTTCTTTGATATAACTCATCAATCATTCCAGAAAAGAAATTATTCAAAAATTCTGGAAAAGCATTATAATATTC